TATCAATTTTTTTATTAAATTGTATATCTTTAATCCTATTCATATAAGTTATGAAAATAATATTTGAATACTATTTAGCTAGGTTAAAATAATATGTAAGTCCTTTAGTTTCATTAATTTTTACATTAAGTCCTTATACTTTTTATAATTTGAAAACAAATATTTGGAACTTCATTCCATTAGTGTTCGGTTAAATCATCTTTGCATATCATATGTGGCGTGGCTTCTTTTTCATATCTCTTTCTCTACTCAAGAAGCTTCACTGAAAAATATTCTAGATATATTAAAGAACTAAACAGGTCATATTTTATTGAATTAAAATAAAGAAAAGATCCTAATAGTATTTACAATGCATTGTATCCTCTACTAAATCTTGCTCTTCACACTCGAATTTGAAAGCAATGTTTTCTTATTAATAAAAATATAATAGAGGTACGATGTTTTATTTATTTATACAAATAAATAAATAAAATATTTAAATAAAAATACACAATAAAATATAACAAAAGTTTTAATTTAGAAGTGAAAGACTTGTTAATTTGTTATTAACATTGAAAAATTAAAAAATTAAATATAAGTAATTAAAACTAATAGACCGAAATTATACATATACTAAAATACATATATCAAAAGTGTAAAAATTTGATTTATCCCCTATGTATTATGAGTACAAAATCTGGTCAATCTATTCAAACTCATTTTTTAAAACATTGAAAATTGTAAAAATTTAAGAGCTTGATTGTTTTCTCTTTTTAAATAGAGTTTTTAATTATTAAAATTAAAAAATAGAAAAATTTACTTGTTAATATAAGTTTTAAAAATTAATTTTTATTTTCAGTTTTTAAAACTGAAAAACAGAATTGCTATTGAGGTGTTTTTGTTTTTATTTTTCTGTGTTTTTTTCTAAAACTAACAAAAGTCTAACTAAAAACAGTTTTAAAAACTAAATTATCAAACAAAATTTATTTTATTTTATTTTTCTAAAAACAGTTTTATAAATATATTTACTAATAAGTTATGTCTTTATCTTCATGTAATTTATTTTAGATAGTTTTATAATGTTTTGTTGTATATAAGAACACAATAATGGTATGAATTTCCATTTTTTTTCAGTTTTTTAATTTTAATTAACTAATTTTAAGTGTAATAACACGTTGTTAAGCCATTTTATAATTTTGGCATTTTCGTTGTTATTAATTTAGTTAAATTTATTAGATGAATTATCAATATAAAGTTAATATGACAATGTTGAAAAATTACATCAATATTATACATTGACATTAAAATCATCTAAGATCATAAGTATTGGGTTTTAGGATAAATAGTTTCACTTATACTACAAGCTTATTATTTTTATATAATGTCGTAATTTTATTTTGTATTGTATCTTTTTCATGAGATTTATTTTATTTTGGTTTTTAATTATAATATTTTATTTTGTTAGCTAGAAACATAATTGCCATGAAAACATTTCGTAAAAAAGGAACACATGTAGGTAATATCAATGTTAATTAAGTGCAAGTTGTTTTGTCGTACACCCTTTTCTTTTTATTGATTTTAATTTAATAAAGAAGTGATACGACAACTCATTCATATGCTTTTAGTGCGAAGAAACCGTGACAGATAGTTGTTATTTTTATATATTTCATATCTGACTTTTTTTTCGTTGGAGGGGGTTTAAGAAATCATATTGTTCTTTTAATTAGGAGTGTTTACGTTTTTGTTTAGCCAAGCCAATGAATTAGATCAATTCAACTCAATCAAAAATTAATGAGTTGATTGATCTAAATGCATCAGTTTAGATAAAATAAAATAAAATTTAACGAAATACGATTTAAATTTAACTCAACCCAATTGATTCATTACACGTTGATCTTTTTATCTATTTTATATAATTTTAATTTATTTTCAATTTATTTGAAGTAAAAAATTGAAGATTTAAAAATATATTGATTTTTCAAATTTTTAAATATTGTATATTATTTTAAATTATAAAATGAATATTAAATTTTATACATTATAATTTATAAAAGATTGTTATTTTTTTTTTTTTTACTTTGTATTGTTTGACTCTTTATTTTAGATAAAAATATTACAATATTTATATATTATATTATGTTTTAGAATGAATAATTTTTATTTAATTTTAATATATTTATTATTTGAGATATTAAAATTAGATTATTAATCATACATAATTTTTTTTATTTTTTATATAATGTTGTAAATGCTATAGTTTAATTACTCAACTTATTTGTGATTAGATTAGATAAAAGAAAAAAATTATCCAAATCAACTCAATCTAATCCATGAAATTTCGATTAGATCGGATATTTTTTATATAAAAAATTATCTAAATTGTTAAAAGCATATTAATAATGATGTCTAAATAAAAAAATTAAAACTTTTCTTTTAAACATTTTTGCAGAGTATAGAAGAGAATATATAGATTTGTCAAGTTTTTGGTTAATATTGATTACAAAACATCATGCTTTATTATTACTGGTTTTTTTAGTTCACATGCAAATGGGAGCATTTGACAGAATTGGCAGAGAACGAATGTATGTTTCACATGCATTGCATTATTGGTATGCCATGCAAATAATTGAAATTGAAATTGAAATTTTTATTTATAAGTTGACTTGGTTCGCTGCTCTTTAAGTCTTTATTCAACATGATACCGAGTTGAAGTTTAATTGCCTAAGTAATTTGACATGAAAAAAAAATGAGCATTAATATACTCAACAATAAACCCAAAAAAATTATAAACAAACTGAGAACTCAATAATAATAATAATAATAATAATAATAATAATAATAATAATAATAGTTTACCCATTATGTCCTGCTCGTTTATATTGAATGATTATATTTAAAAGAAAGTAACTCGTTTAAAGTAAAAAACTAAAAATTGTATAAAACAAGGAAATTAATGTGTATTCATTAATTTAAAGTAAATTAAATTTATAAATATGTTTTAAACTAAACATATATACGTTTTTATTAGTTTATTCGACTTCTACTATAGAAAACTCAAATTAAATTAAAAAATATAACATAACAGCAGCCTTACTTTCACATGTGAAGAAAAAAAAAAACCTAATATTAAGTTTTTATATCATCATCATCATCAACTTTTTAAATTAAATAACAATATGTATATTTATTTAATATAATATTTTTATTTAATACAGTGACACAGCGGAATACTTGGAACAATAACTTTAAAATAATTTAGACCAATACTTTATAAAAATAATAACTTCGAAAAGAAGAATTACATATAATTGAAAGAGTTAAATTCATTTTTTGAATTTATCATAATAGGTGTTACATACTTTCTAAAATGCAAACTTCATGTTAATTTAAATTATACATATTAGGTATATGTTTGAAAATGATTAAATTTTGAGAACTAGTAATATTTAAAACAACTCTCATAGGAAGTTAAAAAAATGTAATTATTTTTAAAAATAAATTAAATACCCATTATATTACATTGTGATTGATTGGTAATAATAATAATAATAACTTAAAAAAGTTTGTTGGATAATGTCTTGGTAAAAGTAATATTTTAAATTATTTTACCAGTAAGTTTTAACTTAAAATGAGATAATATAGTTTCTTATAAACTTTTATCTGCTAAAAGATAGTAAAATTTTGAATTATTTTAAATAAATTATCAAAAGACACATTAGTTATTAAGAGAAAATAAACTTGTACCTGCGGGTGATGAGAAATAATCAATATTGACCACACCTGTATTATTTAAAAACTAATGTATTCAATATTTATAATTAATGTGTCCGTTACAAGAACTTTTGGGAGCAAATTCAAAAATTTACTTAATGGAAAAGGAAAGATATTGAATCTTATGAGTGCGTTTTTTTCTTGTTGATAATATAAATTTATAATTTATTTAAAAATTTGTAATTATGCGTTATTAATTAAAATATATAACAGATATATATTTTATATTAATTATCATAAAAATTAATATATTTTTGTAATATAATAGTTCATAATAACGTAATGACATTTATATTTTTAATGTATTTAAATTAAAATTTTAATTTGGCCAACAAATTAATCAAATTATTTGATAAAAAAACATAACTTTAAAAAATTACTTCAAATAATATTTAATTTATAAATTTTTTTAACACATTTTATTTTATTGTATAAGTAATTTTATCAAATAATTTTAATTCAATCAATTGTTTATAAATTATAATTTTTTTTTATCTAACTTATAAATTATAAAATATAAGTTTTTTTAATTAATTTTATCAAACTAATATTATGGCTTCAGTTTGGAGTATTTTTTGAACACATGCATTTAAGGTATATTCATTTTTAAAAAAATAAGAACTGTTATATAAAAATATTTAAAACTTAGGTTAAAAATTTTAAAAAAATTTAATTTCAATAATTTTTATTTATTATTTATTTATTGCTCATCTTTGAAATATTTTTTTCAAAAATTTAACTTAGGAATGTTTTAAATTAAAAATAATGAAATTATCACATAAATTTAATACGAATTTTAAAATAAATTTTATGTTAAATGTTACCGACAAGTAAAGTATAACATTTTTTAATTACTATCGTCACTATTTATTCTAAAATTCGAAATCAATATTATTGAAAATTTTCAATTAAATTTATTTTATAACAAAATTTAAGTTCAATATCGTAATATTTTTAATATTATTTTAATAATTCATACAATAAAATTAATATTAAAAATAATAATTATTATCAAAATAAAACTCTAATTTTAATAAAAATAACATAAAAATACTTATAAAATGTTATAACACTGTATTTAAATTTTACATTTTAATTTACCTCGAAATCCACTTGGGTGCGGTTAAATAATAAATACCGAGTCCACTCGCCCTTCTCCACATCCTTCACTCTCTTCACGTCTACGACTCACTCCCGCACCCACCACCGTATCTTCATTTATTTCATTTCATTTCCCCAAAATAATTATTTTTAAAAAGAAAAACAAAAGGAAAAATTCCCTCATTTTCTCTCTCTCTCTCTCACTCTCTATCTCTTCTCTGTTCTCTCTCTTCCATGGTGGAAGAACGCGGAAGCAGAGTCGCCGGAAAAAACAGAGAAGATCGAAGAGCATAGGCAAGAGGATCACCAAAGCTAGGGTTTGTGAATTGCTGAATCCCAAGAAGTAGAAGAATGCCGCTCTCGAAGTACCGCGTGAGGAACGAGTATAGCTTGGCGGATCCCGAGCTGTACCATGCCGCCGACAAGGACGATCCCGAAGCTCTTCTCGAAGCCATCGCCATGGCTGGTCTTGTCGGACTCTTGCGCCAGCTCGGTGACCTTGCCGAGTCAGTTTCTTCTTCATATTCTTCTCTTGTTCCTTCTATCTACCTCATTTTTTTAGTTCTTTCATTTCGTAATTCTGATTTGGAGCTCCTTCACTCGCGGTTTGGGTGATTGCGTTTAGTTGTATGAATGAGTGCTGAGTTTGAAAACGGAAAAGAAAAAAATTATTAGAAATAACTTGTTTTTGGTAAATTTTTGTGCTGGAGACCGGAGTGAGCTTAATTCGGCAAGGCGGTGTGCTTTTTGGATTTCATTCGGTTGCTGGATCGATGTACTGGCGCGGTTAAATTCAGAATTAGAGGAAAATATAGATGCTAAATTCGGGGGTCGTGTAATGGTTAATTGGTTATTAAATAATTAGTTAATTAGTTGATTTATAATTTTATAATCTTGTTTTTGGCTTGAACTTTGTATGTAGAGTTTTGAAAGAAAAGGAAAATTAAGAGAAAGGAAATTAGGCTTGAAATTCTCTGATTGGTTTAAATTGTGAAGGTGTTGGGTGACCTTTTGTGGACATCGACAGTTTCTACTTGTAGCTCTGGTATGGTATAGCCGAGATTGGATTGGTCTGAGTTTGATTGACTGAGCGTAGACTAGGAATCTTGAACTAGTGATGTTCCTTATAGGTTTTGATTAGACGTTAATCAATTTGAAAAGTAGAGTTATTCAATTTAAGTGTGATTTGGCTGATGGAAAAACATGTTTTTGGTTTGATGTTTTTCTTGGAGTATTTGGGAATATTTATTATCAGATGAGGAGAAAATGCAATGCAGTTTACCATTCTATAACTGAGTAGAATTACGGAACATAGTATTTTCCTTCAGTGAGTACTGATTAATTGGAGTGTATATTAAGGCTTAATGTTTTGATCTTTCATGCACAATGCAATTCAATGACCACCTGAGCTTATCTTCGGTGGCTTAATCTTGTGAATTTGGTTATATTAAGAAACTTGAGCCTAACTCACTTAGGAAGAGGATTGCCCAAGCCTTTATAAACAGTATTTTAGCTCTATTTCTAATTGATGTGGGACATCTTAACAAGTTCAAATAATTCTGGGTTGAATGTGTGTTTCTTGCTAGAATTGTGATAGTGACGTTCTGTATCATGTAGTTGAGTGCTATCAAGGTAGTTCTATTTGGCAGAGTTCCAATCATACTAGGATATCTGAACTTTGAAGTTGTTTCCTCCTTTTTAGCATTGAGAATTTTTAGCCCAGCATCAACATTTTAACATTTTTAGATTTTTACATTTACTAGGTGATGTTAAGTTATCTATATTTAAATATTTCATTTTCGTTAGGTTTGCTGCTGAGATCTTTCATGATTTACATGAAGAAGTAATGGCTACTGCTGCAAGAGGCCATGGTCTTATGGCTCGTGTTAAACAACTTGAGGTTGAAGTTCCTTCACTTGAGAAGGCTTTCTTTTCTCAAACTCATCATTCATCATTCTTTACTAATGGAGGTTAGATTACTCATTACAAAGTCCAATTGTATATAACTTGTCATTGTCATCATGATTTAAATACTCTTAATTTTGTAAAATGATGGGATTTTGGGTTAAGTTGTAACCTTTAAGCGTAATTGGCCCTTTGCTAATTTAAACCAACTTGCTTATTGCATGGCAGGGATTGACTGGCATCCAAATCTCCAGTCTGAACAAAATCTTGTTACTCGTGGAGACTTGCCTCGATTTATAATGGATTCATATGAAGAGTGCCGTGGTCCCCCTAGGCTGTTCCTTCTGGATAAGTATGACTGATTTATTAGACATGTGATTTCAGCCTCAATAGAAAAAGAATATGTTATAGATATTTGAAAAATTTTCTTTTTGACTTCTTTAAAGGTTTGATGTAGCTGGGGCTGGGGCATGTCTGAAGCGTTATACTGATCCATCGTTCTTTAAAATGGAGTCAGCTTCATCTATAACTGGCATAGAAGTTCAAAGGGAAAAGAAAATTCGTAAAGTCAAGGTACAAAATTTCAATCTTTACATAGTTTTACTTTTTAAAATGTTTTAAATGCTTAACAGCTTCATGTGTATGAGGACAATGTGCATGATGGCACTATTTTTTCTTGTTTAAAATAGGGTTGCAATTCTTAGATTGAACAGTCCTTTTCTTATGAGTTAGCTTTAGGTTTGATTTTCTAATATGATATTAAAACCTATCCTTGTTTAAATGTTGGGTCACCTGGAAATGTCAAATCTTATAAATTTCATGCTCTAGATGTCCAATCTTAAGCGTGACAGGAGTGTGTTAAGATGTCCTATATCGGCTAGGAATATGCCTATAATTCTCTTTATGAAGCTTGAACAACTCTCCTTCTATGAGTTAACCTTTAGGAGTAAGGTCTAGTTTTCTAATAAATACAATTCTTTGCTATGGAAAATTGAATACTTGTGATTTTAAATATTTATTTTTTCTTTCATGTTCAGCTGAAGAAAGGAGCCCGGTTGAGGGATGGTGAAGCCCCTAACATTGTACCAACACATGCAAAGTAAGCTCCAATAATTTTATTGTTTTGCATAGATACATTCTTCTGGTTAAGGTCTTAAATGATGACTGGTGGCTCAATTTAATTTCCATTATTGCAGATTACATCAGCTGCTTCTTGAAGAGCGTATTGAGAATGGTTATAGTAATCCTGCCCGTCTAGTGAAGTTGAAGAAAAGACAATTGAATGGACCTGCAGTTGAAGCAAAAGCTGGGAAAAGTTACATGGAGAAATTTTTTGAAACTCCCTCACCAGACCGTAAAATGATTTGTGAAACTTCAATCTTCCCACTGCCTGCGAAAGTGACATCGGATGATACTAGTGAGGCAGGAATTAAGATCCTTGAAATCAGTAGCATTAGTTCTGTGAAAAAGTCTTCAGGAAATAAAAACTCCTACTCTTCTCCTATGGAGCAGGAGTTAGAACTAAAACCATTTTCAGAAGTGGATGATGGGACAAATGTAGATCTTGTGACGGTGAAACAAGTCTCAGCTGATGTGACAGATAATATGTCTTCTAATCGTCTTCAGTTGCCTGATGAAACAGAATTGGTTACTGATGAGCAACAGAAAATAGAAGGCAGCTTAGATGGGTACCAGTCTGACGATGTGACTAGTGAGGTTGACAATTACATGGATGCTTTAACTACCATGGAGTCAGAATTGGAAACAGATAATGAGTATAAACCTAAGAAAAGCTTGAATATTAAAAAGGCAACCGATACTGATGATAAGGGAGGACATCTACTACAACCTCGTTTTTCAGATTCTCAATCATTTGGAGACTCCTCAATGTCTGACGACATTAGTTCATTCAAACAAGATAGAAATGAAGAACATATTGAAGTGCAAGCTCAGTTGTCAGATTCTCAATCAACTGGAACCTCCTCTACATTAGACAATATTAGTGCTTTCGGAAGAGATGGAACTGAGCATGTAGAAGTGCAAGCTCACTTCTCAGATTCTCAGTCTATTGGAAACTCCTCTATGTCAGATGAAAATGGTTCTTTCAAGAAAGATAGATCTGATTTCCATCACTCTGAATCATTAAGAACTGTTGTTGAAAATGTACAATCAGAACCTATATTATTCACAAATACCAAGTATTATGAACAGGAGGTTGAAGATACTCCATCCAACCAGCTTCCTCAAACTGTTGAGTCTCAAAACACTGATTGTGAGAGGTTTGTCATGCATGATGATCCACATGTTCATGAAGAAGAGATTTCTGATTCAGGGAAAGCCATTTGTGATCTGGTGACTTCAGAACAAGTGTTGTGTTCTGATCTTGGACCTGAACCTGCCTTACCAGTGATCCTACCTGCAGGAACTCAGTCGAATGAAACCCCATCTGACCCTGCTGAACTTAATTTAAGATTAGATGGTAATGCAGGTAGAGCAGGCCTTGTTGAATCTATTGCTTCCAAACCTGTTTCTCTTTCCCTAATAAAAGATGATGCTTGCCCGGTGGATTCTTCTGATAAAACATCATTAGACAATTTGGATGAGGATGATCCATATATTCACTCTGATGATTTGTTACAAGTTTCTAATGATTTGGAGTTAGCTCATGAAGGTGAATGCAGAGATCATTCTGAAATCAATATGTTCCAGGCAGAATCTCCTAATAATAACGCTTCTGGAATTTTGGTTAATAGAAATATTGGTTCACAAGGAGAGGATCCAATTTGCCCATCCATGGAAGAATTAGACTTCAATTCAAGTGCTATGCTGGGACTTGGTTGTCGAGACTCAAGAGATGAAGATTGTACTCCAGCAACCCGACTTAATTCGGAATCTCCTGTTGTGGAGATTCCTCCAGTGAGTTGCTTTTCTGGGGAACTATCTTCTGATTTAACTCATAACAATAGACAGGATGATCCTGGCTCACCAGAAATTGAAGTTTTGTATTCTGATCTGCAATCGAACATTGAAGAGATGCCAAAAATGTTGCATGGTGATGAAATAAATGGATCCACTTGCAGTGTTTATCCAGTTGAAGGTGATGGTCATTTTAATCATCCATCTGCTGATAATCATGTGATGGTAAATGATCTAGTCACTGAAAATGTTCAGTCAGAAGATCAAGCTGTAAATTCTGTTCCTTCTGTTGATAGTGCTGAAAATGAAGTGGGTATCGTTACTTGTCCAGCTTCAAGTCTGATTTATTCTTCATCAGGGATTCTTTCAGATTTGCAAGAACCTCTCTCAGGTTCTTATTCTTATCAGATGGAAATGGAATCGGATGAAGTAGAATTGACTCAAATTTCCATGGACTCGAATGCAGTGAAGATGGAGAATCAACTGGCACCATCGCCAGATGTAACATCATCTGATGTCACATATTCTCTGTTGAGTAATAATACGGAGTTAGATGAAACTCTTTCTACTATGACAGAACTACGTGAGAAAGAGATGGAAGTTGATGAAGCAGTTTCTAGAGAATCTTTGACAGAACTAGAGGAACAAAAGACAGTGGGTCAACCAGAAGTTGCTTCTGCTGATGTACAATTGAATCTAAACGAATCGGTGCCCTGTGATCTTCCAGATTCAAAAATATGTGATAATATTCAAAAGTCATTTCCAAGGGAGAAATTCCAACATAGTGCTTTTGTCGATGACACAAAAATGGTGCCTGAATTGTCAGGGTTAGACACCCAGCAGTTGGAATCAATATTTTATGCTCAGCAGCATGATCCCTTACAAAATGGAAGAGAGAGTTTTTCATCACCTTCTGGTAACCAATTGGAGTCTGAAACTGATTTACAGATGTTCTCACAATCCCAAATTGATAAACAGGATGCAGAATTTCCACTCAAAGATGAGAAAAACATTGCCTCAGAGAAATCTGAATCTCTGCAGATGCAGGTCTATCAGTTGGAGCAAGAAGGCACTCATGCTACTTCTGAATGTGTTTCAGAGATCCATGCAGATAAGCCATCATCATTTAATTTCTTGCCAGAGTCATCTAGCCCGGAGAACAACCCTGCAAAGCATTTCATGGAGCCTTTGAAGCCTCTTCTTCCTAATCTATTTCCCAAGGCAACTGAAAATAATCTTGATGAAATGCCACCTATGCCCCCTCTACCCCCTATGCAGTGGAGAATGAGCAAGGTTCAGCATACTTCCCTAGCTTCACAAAGAGAAGAGTTAGAAGTAAGTCAGGCCTCGGTCCAGCCAATGCAGCCAACTAAACCTGATCAGAAATCTCAATTTGGTTTTCCAACTTCAGAGAGAGACACCTTGTTGTATCAGAGTCCATTTTTGCCTGTCATGGCTGTGGAAAGTGATAAGCTCCAACATTCTTCTGGGTTTTCTGTAGGTGTTTCAGGGCATCCTGTTGCCATACCTTTTCAATTTCCATTCATGGTTAATGAATCAAATGGTCAATATAATTACCTACTGCTAGACAGAAGCCAAATTCAGAACCCCTTCTTAACATTACCTGGGGTATCTACCGGCATGCCTTCTCAAGGTTTTATTGTTGCTTCTGAGGAAGAAATGATACAGAATTCAAGCCAATGTGCGCCAAAACCAGCTGCTGCATATGCTGTTTCTGGACATGATTCCATCTCTCCACAAGAAAAGCCCACTCAACCTCCTCATCAGTTAATGACAGATTCTAGTTCAGATGATAAACCAGTTAAGCAGAGTACAAGTGATATGGTATCTATGGACAGGCCTCCACATAGTCATGCCGTTGCTTCCGAGGGAGAAATGGTACTGAATTCAAACACATGCCCTGCAATTCCACCTGCTGAATGTACTGTTTCTGGACATGATTCCATCTCACCTCAAGACAAACTGACTCAACCTACAAGCCAATTAATGACAGAGCCTGGTTCAGATGATAGAACACTTCTGGAATCAGTAACTAATGTCGTATCTATGGACAGGCCTCATGCTTACGCTGTTGCCTCTGAGGGAGAAATGGTGCAAAATTCTAACCTAGGCCCTCCTGTACCACCTGTTGAATGTGCTGTTCCTGAACATGAATCCATTTCTTCTCAAGAAAAACTGACTCAACTTCCAAGTCAATTAATGTCAGAGACTAGTTCTGAAGTTAAAGCAGCTCCACAGTCTATAAATAATGTGGAACGGGAACAAGGATGTCTGCCTGTCTCACTTATGTCACCATCAAACATGGAAAGTATGGAGCCTAATCAGAGTGTCCTGCCCTTTGAGGGGGAAATGGTGACGTACTTGGATACATCTGCTCAAACATCAGATATTGAGAGCGAAAGAACAAATGGGAAACCAAAGAATAAGCTTCCTCGTCCTCGTAATCCTCTAATTGATGCTGTTGCTGCTCATGACAAAAGCAAGGTAAGGCAATTTCTAGTTTCTACATTACATTGAATGTCTTTTTGTGGTCTGAATTCTTGTGTAACACTTTGCCTTTGAACTACTGCAGCTTAGGAAGGTTACTGAACGGGTTATGCCTCAAATAGTACCGAAGGTAGATGAAAGAGATTCTTTGCTAGAACAGATAAGAACAAAGGTTAGGGCTAACCACTTTTGTTTCTTTATGCTGATCATATCAAAGCATTCTTGTATTTTAAAGTTTTTTTTGGTTCTCAGTCCTTCAACTTGAAGCCTGCTGGTTCTACACGACCTAGCATTCAAGGTCCAAGAACAAATTTGAAGCTTGCGGCCATCTTGGAGAAAGCAAACGCAATTCGCCAGGTCTCTCTCTCTCTCTCTCTCTCTCTCTCTCTCTCTTTCTCTGTGTTTATTTATTTTTATTACTTCTGTGTTTATTTTACTGTAATATGCATGTGCTTCTCTCTCTCTCTCTCTCTCTCCTGCCTTACCCTCTTTCTTTCAGAGTCAACTGATATGTTAATTATTTGAATAGGCTTTAGCTGGAAGTGATGAAGATGATGATGCGGATAGTTGGAGTGACTCTTGAATTTACGATGGAAAACGATCTCAGTTGGTGGATGAATAGAAATCTCCCTGAAATGCAAGATTCTTTATCCTACTCTATGTTCATATATGATATTCTGAACTCCATATAGCTCCTCTTAGTCCGCTTTCTTCTCTCGCTCTCACACACACATATATATGCATGATCATTGGTACTAGCATGCAGATTAGCATCAATGCTGATCCAAACTCACTTCACTCGGGAAATGTCAGGCTCAGCGTGCAAGCGCTGTACCAGTCCAGATCAACCTATCAACAGATTCCCCCATGCCCCGGTTCATATAAGCACGTGTATATTTTGTATTGTGTCATATTTTTTCGATTTATAGTCATGAGTATCCAATTTTGTAATTCTGTGATGTAGTGTTTCGTGACCCCATTTATCATGTAGTTCATCGGTGTTCAGTATAGTAATATATATAAGTGAGTAAAGTCATTTCAGTGTACAGTTCCATTGTCTCTTTTGTTCACTGATTCACCCTCTATTTGATCACTGTTATATTAGCAAGCAAATTGGAATCGGCAGTGGTAAAATTTAAATAAATGTAGAGTCAATAGACCTGCTTCTGGCATCTAGATTGTTCCACTTTGCTGTAAATTGTGCTACAAAGGCAACTAGATTAAAGATTAAGGCCTAATTTGAGTGACCTTGGAGATAACTTTTGTATAAGAAAAGTACTATTAAAAATTAAATAAAATTTATTTTATAAATATTTTTTTTAAAGTTTTAGACCGGTTAAATAAAAGAATTAAAAAAAATAAATTAATTTAACTTATAAAAATTTTAATTGTTTTATTATTTAGGTTGAGTTTGAGTAAATTTATAAAAAGAAACAATATAAAATTAATTTTTTAATAAGTCAAAATGATTTATTTTTTTAAAATTTTTAAAAAATTAAATGAGAGATTTTTTTAAAAATAGAAAGGTTATTTATAATTTATAGAAAAAAGTTTTATTATTATTTATATTATTTTTTATAAGGATTTTTAAAAAAAGTTTATCTTAAAAAAATAACAAAGTTTGTGATAAACTTGCCAAAGGCTGTTTTAAGTGCATAGGTAATTTGGTTTTGCAAGATTGTAAGTTGAGGAGATATTGACTAATTATTAATTAATGATATATTTAAACCTTATTATAGATATTTTTATACAGTCGTTGGGTTTGTCTCTATTAAAATAATAAATTAGATATATGATGTTATTTTATCTTTTTATATAAGTTTTTTCTTATTATTTTCATTTAATTTTTTATAAGAAAAAATTATACTAAATAAATAAATAAATTTATAAGAAATTTATTATATCTTTATTAATAAGATATAATATATATTTTTTACTAATCTATTATTTTATCTACCAAACGGTAAAAAATAAATTAATTTACAAAAATGATTGCTTGGAAAGTCACTTTCCAAATTTATAAAGAAGACAATAACAGCAATTAATTAAAAGTTTGTTAACCTTAATTTTTAGGGTTGAGCTTAAATCTTCACAAATAAAAATTTTTTATAAAAAAAAAAAATTATTATTATACTAAAATTATAAAAATATAATAAATATTTCCTTTTTTAATAAAATTTTATTACTTATTCTCGATCATAAAGAATGAGGTTAATAAAACTCATTAATTAAACTGCATCCGCAGCACCGTTTGGAATGCAGGCACCGTTGCACAACTTCTCTGCTTTCAATTTGCAATCACCGCTTGAAAAAGTATGGACGGCATCTTATTGTAGAGCACCGACACGGAGCATTTATTTATTGTTTATTTCTGGCCATAATTTTTTTTATTATGAAACATTTTTATTCATAAATACTTAAACTCATCTCAAAGATTAACAAAACTTAATAGTATAAAAATCTATGAGGTGTTAGATTCTATACCTATGGCTTAATTACATGCTTAGTAAAAGTTAAACACGTTTATTTATTCTTCTCACGTCATTAATGGCAAAGTTCTTCACATCAATTTGTAATTAGGGTCCATTTCAATCTTTTTAGAAGTCCGGTACTAAATTTCAAAAGTTGCATTTTGCTTTGTTGTCGTCTTCTTTCCCAACTGCAGCCACAGAAGCGGACAAAAAATGAAGTTGAAGGTTGAGAAATTTTTTATTTTTTTTAATTTTAAATACTAATATTAACTAATGTTCTTAGTATTATGATTAAGAAATTTAAAGTAAAATTTTTTTATCAAAAAATATAATAAATATATCTTGTTTTATAATTTTAATATAATTTAACATATTTTTTTAATAATTTTTTTATTTTTAATTTCTTAACCAGTGGCCTTAGTTTATCTATTGCTAAAACAAGTGAAGTAATACCTCCAATTAGGAGGTTGAGATCAAGGATGTAATTGCATCTTGATTTGAATATCAAGGGGGGATAAGTGCTTTTAGGACAGTGATTAAGGAATTATAAAAATAATTATTAAAAATCATAGGGAAAATGTGTTTAATAGACTTATAGATTCAACTTATATTGTTGTAATTTATTGATGAAATATTTAAAGGATTAAAAATAATAATTTAAAAAGAAATAAAAAAATTAATTATATTTCTTGTCTTTATATAAATTTTATTTTTTTAAGATAATTTTTTTAATTAAGTTTCAGTCCTTAACTTATTTAAATTGTTAAGACATATTAAGTGATAAGTTAGGTAACAACGATTCAATTCATCATTTTTATCTTACCGCCACATTATCATTGCTTTTAAAAATTTTATTACGTAAAATTTTATATTTAAAAAAAGTCCTTCATCTTTCAACCTTTTTTTTTTTTATCTTTTTCTTCATTTCAAAAACACTACAGAGAATAATATCGATTCGCGTACTCTTGTTGTGTGACTAAAAATCTATCATGGAAGCATAGTAATTCTTATCTATGGACGCAACATAATCACTTCACAATAAATAGAGGCACATCGATGAGACTTCTAACTAGTTTGGTGGAGTCAAACTCCAATTCTTTGAAATTTCTTTGGACTTAAAGAGATAACCACTTGCAGCAGAATGTTTACTAAAATACCTTCCTTCATAAAAATATAAGTAAAATGAAAGTAAAACTAACCGATTCGGTTGGGAATCAATTAGTTTCCTAAAGGACTAGAGTAGCAAATTAACACAAAAGAAAACTTTTTGGAATCATAGGTATTCAAAGTGCCACTTTCGGTGACCAATTTATTATGCAAAAATCAATTCCTAGAATTTGCAGCCATTATGCTCAAACGATCAAGTTCTGAATGCGAAGCGAAGTGTACACCAAGTCATGATTTCTTCTTTATATTCTCATTGCCAATTTCTTTTTCATTTTTATAGATATTATGTTTTCTTTGATAATTGCTAATTTTGACTATTTAATTTTATGTATAGGTTGAGTAGGGTTAGAGTTTTTTGGTTTGGGAGAAATTGGCATTAAAAATTAAATAAAAATTTTTAAGAACTTTTTTGTAGATATAAACTTTTAAATAATATAAAATTTAAAAATTATTATGATGCTACAATAACATGACAATGATAAATTAAATTTCTGTTGTTCAATCCATCACTTAATAAAAAAGAGATAATAACATAAACTAAATCTTAATATTTTAAATAAGTTAGAGACTCAATTATAACAAAAAATTTATTTAGGATTAATATCAAAGAGTAATACTTTTATAAAGATAAAAGCATAATTAAACCCAAAAAAATGTATGAAATAAAATAATTAATGTAACAGTAAAAGCAAAAATAATAAAACTTTCAATTAGCATTATTTAAATTAAAATACATTATCTATATTTATTTATATGATAAGCTTTAGGGTGTATCAAAATTTAAATTTAAAAAATCAAATTTAAACTAAAATTTATTAAAATAATATCAACATCTAATTTATCTTAAAAATATACTTCCATGTACGAGAGTATCATAAAATAGTGGTTCAATTTATGAATGTAATTCATAAATAAACTGTTTTAAGAGTATGAAAGGATACGATAAAAAAATTGTATTTATGCATTTTTTTATAAAATAAAAAGAGAAAAAGTGTAACAAGATAATTAACACAATAAAGAAATAGATAAAAAGAATTGTAAAATACTGTATTTATTTGTGTGTTCATATCATCTTATATAGAGTCATTCGCGCAATAATAACGTGTCATGACTTTCTTGATTATCATATATTCTTTCACAATTATTATCTTTTTATCTAACCCTTTTTTTTCAGGATTCATGTGTTGAAATTGTATTTTCTTATTTTAATTATGATTACATAAAATTGTATGATTTGAATTAGATAATTCAATATAATTTGATTAGTTAATAATTTATGTCATATTATTTCATTTTTTTTAGTTTAACTTAACAACAATTCACTTAAAATAGTTAAGGCAAAATATACTCAATATTATTAAGAAAATATCAAAATATAGGAAATTTGATTCAATAAGTAACTTAGCAATTACTTTAAATAGGAATGTTCCAAAGGCATCTTAAGCCTTGGGATAAGAGATCACAATTATCATAGAATAGGAAACAAATTACATGATAAAAAGATGCTTAAAAACTAAAAATGTTCTTAATTATATGACATTTCAAGATAGCACAACACTCCCACAATCTTCAATCAATAATATTCTAATTATCGATTACTTATATCTACATAGAAATTACTCTTTTCATGTTCAAATGCTCTTCAATACCGTATGCCTCACTTGATATAACTAAAAAATAACTTGTCATCTACACAATAAGGGCACATACTTGTTTCATCCTTTTCATTGTTTGCGCAAAATTGATTGTTGCTTCTTAGTGCTTCCAAATTATGCACTTCACAAAAAATTAAATAAATGCAAATATATCATAATAGCTTTACAATCCATTAGCCACAATAATAAGTTTCTTGGCTCTTAATGTCTCGTATAAACACATACATATAGTGTCCATTTTTCTACTTCCATTTCCTTCTTACCTTTTCTCTAAGAACAAGTTCTAAAATAAGACCAACAACTACTTCATTCCTTCAATATTTATTTCTCAAATTGAGACCTTTCTTATAACTCTATTTTAAAGCAAATTCACATCAAACCCATGTGAAGACAACCATCATCTAGAGGCACAATAGAAATAAAAGAAACAACAAAGTCACTTTGATTCTTTTCTGTCTCACCCCTTTATAAGAACCATAAATGACCCATGCATTCATTATTAGACTATGTGAATTATAGATTCTTTACACTTCTGTGTTATTACACACCTTGCAAATTTATGAATTTGTTGATCTATTTTTCTTATAATTTATAATCTCTTTATCAAATTTATAGTGAAACAATTGATGACTTCACTAATGAGATACGTAAACAATAGAGGTTGGTTTAGTGACAATGCCCACACCAAGTATTATATAGTTGAACTTTTTGTGGCTTATGGTTAAGTTTAAGATCATGCAATATAATGAAGATTTATAAGAAGGAGGAGAGTGACCTTCTTTACTTGCATCTTATGAGAGAATCGATGATAATAATTTGTTATTTTCAAAGGAATGAAAAGGATCATGCACCCTTAGATTACACTATATGAATATA